AGTATGGAGAACATTGCATACTCATGGCTTGTATCCATTCCATGTTCAATCAGTACAACACCTTGAACCAACAGACTTTGCCAGGAGATTGGAATATTGTGATAATATTGTGGTTCCTGTGATACTTTTTATCGATGAAGTATCACTTTTTATCGAAATGATCCACCTTGATATTATCAGTATATTGGATCTCTGGTTATATGCCTCTTTCTAGAGAGTAGCATAACCTCTAAAAATCTTGATAACACTTTAATAGCTTGGTATATGCAACTTTCTATCTCCTTTACCCCTGCACAGATTGCTATATATGTCATCTCCGTAATATACAGCAGTAACAGTGGTGTTCTTCAACATCTCATAAAGTCCTCTAACACAAACGTTAAAACAGTACAAAGTGAGGTTATGTCTCATTTATAAGGTTTATAAGTATAAGTATTTGAAATTTCTTAGGAACTCGAAAATATTTTTTAATATCAATATAAAATACGACTAAATTCCTTAAATGGACATAAAAATTGTTTGGGTTTTGTAAAAATAGCAACATTTAAGTGCCTATTGTTGTAAAAGTTTCTTAGTCGATAAAACGTGAAACTCAAAAAAACACATCGAAAACTCACCATGGATTGTTGAAAACAATTCAAACTCACCTAAATATAACAATTTTAGTAATTAAAGAGGAATTAATCCGTAATTATTTGAAATAATTTAAAAACGTCAAATTTGACGTTTCAACTTGACAATGACGTGATTTATTAATTACATTTATATAAATTTCAAATTTAATAATCTCGCGTAATTAATTAACACTTTTAACAATGTGGGGTTTAATTGATCGAGTAATGCCGAAATATAATCATTGATTAAATGTTTAAAAACGAAATCATTTTAAATTTACATTTAATGTTGGCAAATTTTGATCAAAAAAACAATTAACAAAACGTCAAAATTTAAGGTTATGTTTATAATCGTTCTAAATAATTTTATAAATTTATTTGTTTTCGAAATATTAAAAATAGAATGTTTGATATAAACAAGTATTGGGACCGAATCATTTTTTAATATAAAAAGATTTCAACGAAAATAATGATTAATCATTTGATAAAATTGATAAAGTTATAGTATCGCAATTTTTTTGAGAAAGGAACTAATAACAGAATTTGGACTATGTTTTAGATGATAAGAAAATAATTGGTGCATTTTGATTATTCGGGGATTTCGAGACACAAAATTTTTTATTTGTAGTTTTTTTAACAAAATTTTAAGTTAACTTAAAGTAATATGTGGTATTTTTATTATAACGTCACGAAACCTACATTATTTTGATGGTGTTCTTGAAATGCGATACTTTTGTGTCGGTTTATGCCGTTGCAGCAATATTTATAAGAGGTTTATTAGAAAGAAATAGAGTGTTTTTCTCGTATACGAGCCGAACACGAAGTCATTCCGAGGGAAAAAAAGAATTAAGATTGGGCATTTTGTGTTTTTGTTAGAAAAAACTATGATGAATCGAATGACGGGTAGATCTTGATGATCGGGTACATCATTTACGAGTTATGAGCATTAAAGAAAGACATTTTTGTGTTATTTTCGTGTATCTGCAATATTTTGGGTTTTTTTGAAAAATCGAAAGATTTCGAACCACTTTGGTATTGGCCAAGGATTAAGCTTTCGAATGAGACATTATTTATCGAAATCGGTTGAGTGGTTTTCTTGTTATAATCAAAATATTAAACATGTAAAACGCTATCTAATTGGGGCTAACTTCACATAGGTCTTTTTTAAATTTAAATTTGTTCATAAAAATCAAGGTCCGTTGAGTATTGTTTATAAGGTTATCCAACTCGAACAAATTGATGTAGAAAACGTGACGTCATTGGAAGAAAAGTATAATATTACAATATACAGGTGCCCATTATGTATGGAACATAGTATACAGGTGTCCCGTATCCCGTAACATTTTATACAAAAGTTGTTTAATATTTTGTTCGCCATAATAAGACAGCATTCAATTATTTTTATTTCAGAAAACAAATGAGCAACGAATAACACTTGAAGTTTTTTTAATGGCAATGTATCCTTTCGTTAGGCTCATTTGATAGAGATTTGTTTTCTCTCTACGATGACGTAAAATTTTAGTGCTCTTATATCGGAAAATCTTTGAAAAAAATTTTAAAATTCTTTATTAAGAAAATTTAACTAATAACGTGAATCTAGATCCAATACATGATTCTAGTTCTAGGTCTAATCTTAGTTCTATTTCAGTAAAAATAGACAACAATTTAACGCTTAGTAACAATTAAAACTAGAACTAACACTAGACCTAGAACTAGAAAGTATCGGGTTTAGTGCAATAAAAATATACCACATAGTGATATCTAGCAACATCATGTTTGGACTCATTTTAATGTTTTTTTACATCATAAAAGAACACCATGAAGTTGTTCATTTGTCTATTATATGATAACTAACTTCAGATTTAAAATGACAACCTCAATTTTAACATATTTGTAATTTTCATTAAAAATCCTTTAAAATAAGTACAAACACGACATATTTATCTTCAATATTAATGAAGTTATAGTCAACTTCCGGTTAGAAATGTCAAAGTCAATTTTGACATATTTGTAATTGTCGTGAAAAATCCTTTAAAATGGGCCCAAACATGATACGTTTAATTCCAATATTACTCGAGATATAAGCAACTTCCGGTTTGAAATATCAATGTCATTTTGACAAATTCTTAATTTTTATAAAATGTCTTAAAATCTATCACAAAAACAAAAATACAATAAAAAAAATTAAAAATTAAGGTTGGTATTAATATTTAATAATTAAATTGCTATCTTCATTGTTGCAAACTTCGGGTTTAACGTTTTTTTGTTCAAACTTTTTTGAGATAAGTGCGTCATGTTTGGACTCATTTTAAAGGTTTTTTTAATAAAAAATACATCATGAAAGAACACCATGAAGTTGTCCATTTGTCTATAATATGATAAGTAACTTCAGATAAAAAATGTCAACCTCAATTTTGACATATATATTTGTAATCTTCATTAAAAATCCTTTAAAATGAGTACAAACACGACATATTTATCTTCAATATTAATGAAGTTATAGTCAACTTCCGGTTTGAAATATCAATGTCATTTTGACAAATTGTTAATTATTATAAAATGTCTTAAAATTTATCACAAAAACAAAAATACAATAAAAAAATTAAAAATTAAGGTTGGTATTGCTATCTTCATTGTTGCTAACTTCGGGTTTTATGTTTTTTATTCTAACTTTTTTGTTTTTTGAGGTAGGTGCGTCATCTTTGGACTCATTTTAAAGGTTTTTTAATGAAGATGACAAATATGTCAAAATTGACGTTGACGTTTCAAACCGGAAGTGATTGTATTTCCATTAATATTAAAGTTAGATATGTCAAGTTTGGACTCATTTTAAAGGATTTTTTATGAACTTGACAAATATGTCAAAATTAAAAGTTTAAAGTTCGAACTTTTTGGTATTTTGAGATAAATGCGCCAAGTTTGGACTCACTTTAAAGGTTATTTTATGAAGATTACGAATATAATAATAAAATTAAAGTTGACATTGACAACTGAAAGTTTTTTTCACGACTAAACCCGACTGTTTCTAGTTCTAACACTAGACTTAGAACTAGAAATATTCGGGTTTAGGTGTGCGTCTAAGACGCCCGAACTTTCTAGTTCTAGGTCTAGTGTTAGTTCTTGTTTTAATTGTTATTTAACCCTAAATTTTTGTACATTTTAATAGATCTAAACAATTTTTTTTTGTTTTAATCCACTTACCTTGCCTATAATTTCATCCATTTACCCATTTTGAATTAAATAATTAAAAAAACTTAAATTCAACATCAATTTTGACAGTTGATGTCAAAATTGATGTTTGCAATATTTGGATTTTAATCACCATGGTAACCGAGTCAAGTTGGATAACCTTAAAATAATAAAATTTTATTCCGATTTTTTTATCAATTCTAACCTAATTTAACCCACTTACCTTGTTTATAATACCCTAGATAAACTGATTTTGAGTTAAATACAGCCTTTTAAACCAACTAAATAAGACGATTTTCTTAAAAAAACTTAAATTCAATTTCAATTTTGACAAGCACCTGCAATATTTGGATCTTCATCACCATGGTAACCGAGTTAAGTTGGATAACCTAACCTAACAATAATAAAATTATAACAATTAATATTTCGCTTTATGTTTTAATATTTTTTTAATTTTATTTTATCTTTTTTTTATATATTTTTGTATATTGCTTCTTAAGTGAAATACACTGTATAAATAAAAACATAGAAATGTCAATTCTTCCAATGACGTCACAGCAAGGCCTTTGCGCGGGGATACGTTCATATGGAGTTGGATTATACAGTATGATAAAAATTTGATTAACAAAAACTTTTTATTTTCTTAAAATTTTTAGTTTTGAATAAATAAAATAATTTGTTATTAAATTTTTTCATTAAAAAAACAACGATAAAAGTCCCTAAATCTAGAGGCTTTTATTAATTCCCCATTTGACATTTGAATTAATTGTTTACAACCGTGAAAAGTGAGGTTAAATTTCTTTCAAACTGTCAAAATATTGGAAGCAAATTTTATAAAGAAATCTTTAAAATCGCCGTCGATTAATCGATAATAATAATCCAATTATAAAGAAATGTAAAGTACACACAAAGTAGGTAGATATTTTAGTATTTCCCCCAAACTTTACCTTATCTTTAATCTAGTTTCAAAAAGTATTTAGTCTCAATTAATAATCTAATCGTTTAATGTTATTTTCTAACAACTATTACTCACGTTTTTTTAATAAAAACATTAAACAAAAACTAGCAATCGCTTAAATTAGTTTAAAACTATACAAAAGGTGAAACATCAACCAGATAAGCACAGAGCCCCCCACTACACAGAAACATATCAAAAATACTCGAACTATACCCGTTTTGCATTCAGTTAGTGTTGATCAGTTGTCGTGTGCAATAGTTTATATCAAAGATTCGTTTGTATTCGTGTTATCAGTATTTTTATTTTCTTAAATTTGTCGCTATTAAACGGTTAATTACTTTGGTGTGTTATACTTGGTAATAATTAATCAATTAATTTTGTTTTTAGGTATTTGATCTTGAAAGAATAAGTTTTAACCAAAGTATTCACTTCGTTTTGAGGTTATCTTAACCATGGCAGCCATGGTAAGTAGTATTTATTTATTTATAAAGCGGGGAATCCCCCATTAATTTAATATTTATGTAAATTTTGTAATTTAATTAGTTTTAATTGTTGCTAATTAATTTTATATCATTTTTTTTAGATGAGAGGTGGTGTGTGTATCATATGTGGAATTTCACCTTTTTCCCATCAACACACTCAGGAGCTTCATAGTTTTAATCATGTACTGTATGAGTATAATAATTATCGGTATGTTTATTAGCATTATTATTAAAATTATGTTAATACTTGGGGTGTTAAAAAAATTTGATTAAAAATTTGCTTTCAATCTCATTCTATTTTTTAATCAAGTTTTTGTTACATCTAAACAAATATATCCCAATAATTTATTTTTATAAATAATAATAAGTGCAATTTGGGTTGCATAATTAGTTTTTATAAATAATAATGGTAGGTGTAATTTGGGTTGCCTATATTAATTTGTTTTAGAAAAGCTTTGGTTAAAAACCGAAATGGAATTAAAATTACACAAGAAATAATGACTGAGGGTCTTTCACCGGATGATTATGAGTTTATTATTAATAAAGGAAAATTTGTTGTAAAGGTGTAATAACGTTTTTTTGATAGAAATTGTTTTTTTATCTTTTTTTTGCTGCAGTTGTCTTCAGAAAAAGTACAAAATCTTCAAAAACGCATAAAATTTAAGTTTGTTATAACGAATGAAAGAAAAGATGATGTTTTATACATGGTTCGTTGCGGATTTTTATTGTGTACTGAAAGGAATAATGTGTATCGCGTTGAAGATCCACAAAACGTTGTTTCAAATGGAAAATTTCTTGAATTACACCCACGTAAGCTATTGAAACAATTAAATTACATAAAAAAAATAAGATTTATTTTTATTTTAGAGGAGAGTTATCCAGTTTATGTTTATTTCGAACCAAATGTAGTAGATCTTACTGAATATGTGGAACATCTCGCTTTCAAATTTCAAGATCCCAAAGCTAATCAATACACATTTTTTCGAACTTTGGTAATTTATATTTATTTTGATATAATTCAAGAATCATCAAATCGCTTAAAAATCGCATAGAAATACAAAAAAAGTGTAAAATTTACCGAAAAATCACTTTAAAGTTCGACGTGACGTCACTTTTTGTGACGTCATCAACCGTGCTGACTATATACATTGCATTTTCGCAGCACATTTGGTTAAAACGCATATTTTCGGGCAAAATACGGTTGTTTCTTAGGTTTTCGACGCACAACGACTAAAATGTCGTTTTTTACCATCTATAAACTAAAGAAAACCTAAAATCTTTAACTTATTGGCTCTTGGATGCGAGATACTGTTGGCAAAAGACTAAAAACTGCTTGGAAAAAGAAAATACTATTTCAAAAAGTTACCTACTGCTTTTAAAATGTTAGATACTCCAGAAAAAGGCCACAACTTATTTGGAAAAGACTATATACTGTTTTCAAAATAATACCTATTGCTTCCAGAATGCTAAACACTGCTGTTAAATGTTTTGACCCACTTGGATAAGCGAAATACTGCTTCCAAGACTATTTGTTGTTTTCAAAGACTTTAATAATTGTTTGGAAAATAGATGTGCTTTTCAAAACGCTACCTACTGCTTCCACAATGCTAGATACTGGTGTAAAAGATTACAATCTGCTTGGAGAAGACTAGATAGTGCTAACAAATAACTACAAACTGATTAGAAAGACGAGATACTGCTTCCATAACACTGCTTACTGCTTTCAGAATGCTATATACTACTAGAAAAGATCACAACCTGCTTGGAGAAGACAAAATACTGCTGGGAGAAACTATTATCTGCTTGGAAAGACAAGATACTGTTTTTAAAAGACTATTAATTACTTTTAGAATGCTAAATATTATTGGAAAGACTACTAATTGATTGGAGAAAGCTAGATATTGTTGGCAAAGACTATTTAATACTGTCAGAAGACTATATACTGCTGCCAAAATACTACTAAGTGCTTGGAGATTACAATACTACTGGCTGAAAGCTATTTACTGAAACTATTCTTCTGTTGAGTGATATCTTTCTGAGTCCCTTCCATTACAGTTTTAAAAATTGCTGCAACAACAATCGATTTGTTGTCAAGCAGTCTTTAACTTATTGGTTCCTGAATGTTAGATACTGTTGGCAAAAGGCTAATTATTGCTATCAGAAGATTAAATACTGCTAGTAAAAGACTAGAAACTGCTTGGAAAGAGGAAATACTATTTCAAAAAGTTACCTACTGCTTCTAAAATGCTAGCTACTGCAGACAAAGACTACAACTTACTTGAGAAAGACTAGATATTGTTTTCAAAATAATTCCTATTGCTTCCAGAACGCTAAACACTGCTGTTAAAGGTTTTGACCTACTTGGACAGGCGGAATACTGCTTCCAAGACCACTTATTGCTTTCAAAGACTTTAATAATTGCTTGGAAAAGAGATATGCTTCCCAAAAAGTTACCTAATGCTGCTAGAATGCTAAATACTACTGGAAAAGACTAATAACTACTTGAAAACAAGATATATGCTTTCCAAAAATGGTACCCACTGCTTCGAAAATGCTAGATACTGGTGGAAAAGATTACATTCTGCTTGGAGAAGACTAGATAGTGCTAACAAATGACTACAAACTGATTAGAATGACGAGATACTGCTTTCATAAGACTACTTACTGCTTTCAGAGTGTTATATACTACTAGAAAAGATTTCAACCTGCTTGGAGAAGACTAAATACTGCTGGGAGAAACTATTATCTGCTTGGAAAGACAAGATACTGTTTCCAAAAGACTATTAACTACTTTCAGAATGCTAAATATTGTTGGAAAGACTACTAATTGATTGGAGAAAACTAGATATTGTTGGGTTGGGTTGGTTGCTGGTTGTTGGGTTGGCTAGATACTACTGGAAAAGGCTAATAACTACTTGGAAAGAAGACATATGCTCTCCAAAAAAGGTACCTACTNGCGAAATACTGCTTCCAAGACTATTTGTTGTTTTCAAAGACTTTAATAATTGTTTGGAAAATAGATGTGCTTTTCAAAACGCTACCTACTGCTTCTAAAATGCTAGATACTGCAGACAAAGACTACAACTTACTTGGAAAAGACTATATACTGTTTTCAAAATAATATCTATTGCTTGCAGAACGCTAAACACTGTTGTTAAAGGTTTTGACCTACTTGGACAGGTGGAATACTGCTTCCAAGACCACTTATTGTTTTCAAAGACTTTAATAATTGCTTGGAAAAGACTAATAACTGCTTGGAAAGAAGCCATACGCTCTCCAAAAAAGATACCTACTGCTACTAAAATGCTAGATACCGGTGGAAAAGATGACAATCTGCTTGAAGAAGACTAGATAGTGCTAACAAACAACTACCAACTGATTGGAAAGATGAGATACTGCTTCCATAAGACTACTTACTGCTTTCAGAGTGTTATATACTACTAGAAATGATTACAACCTGCTTGGAGAAGACTAAATACTGCTGGGAGAAACTATTATCCGCTTGGAAAGACAAGATACTGTTTTTAAAAGACTATTAATTACTTTCAAAATGCTAAATATTGTTGGAAAGACTACTAATTGATTGGAGAAAACTAGATATTGTTGGGTTGGGTTGGTTGCTGGTTGTTGGGTTGGCTAGATACTACTGGAAAAGGCTAATAACTACTTGGAAAGAAGACATATGCTCTCCAAAAAAGGTACCTACTGCTTCCAAAATGCTAGATACTGGTGGAAAAGATTACAATCTGCTGGGAAAAGACTAGATAGTGCTAACGAAAAACTACAAACTGATTGGAAAGACGAGATACTGCTTCCATAAGACTACTTACTGCTTTCAAAGCGCTATATACTACTAGAAAAGATTACAACCTGCTTGGAGAAGACTAAATACTGATGGGAGAAACTATTATCTGCTTGGAAAGAAAAGATACTGTTTTCAAAAGACTATTAAATACTTTCACAATGCTAAATATTGTTGGAAAGACTACTAATTGCTTGGAGAAAACTAAATATTGTTGGCAAAGACTATTTAATGCTTTGAAAAGACTACACACTGCTGCCAAAACACTACTAAGTGCTTGGAGATTACAATACTACAGGCTGAAGACTATTTATTGAAACTATTCTTTTGTTGAGTGATATCTTTCTGCGTCCCTTCCATAACAAATTTAAAAATTACTTCAACACTCGATTCTTTGTCACCCAGGTCAGGGCCGGATCACACTTTTTGTGGCCCCCAAAAAAGTCTAATATTACCATTTAAGTATTATGATTAATACTAATAATTATTTTTAATTATATTTGCCTCAAAGACAAGTATTTACATAAATATATACATTCATAACAAATATAGACATCAAGGGAAACTGGTCAATTTATCGCAATAAGTGATATCTTCCAAGAGACCCAACTGGTAACAGTGTATATGTAATTTTAAATAAATAATTATGGCTACACTTAATATATAATACTATAAATATTATTTAAAAAAGCAATACTAAATGATGTGTTAATAGGACTGAGCGAATGAGCATATTTGAGTTATGTAACGGATCGACCTCAGTTACTACAAGGAAGGAAATAGACACAAACACAAAAAAAGTGCAGTAAAAGATAGATGAAAGGCAGACTAGAGAAGAAAACAAACACGTATAGGTCAAGAAGAAGATAGTTGAAGAGATAGCAATTGGCGCCTCAAGGCATTTTTAAAACTTATTAAACTAGCTGCATTGCGAACAACAGCAAATCGTTCCACAACGCAATCGACTGCACTGTAAAAGATCTGTGGTAGATTTCAGTACTATGGACTGGAAACATGAGTGTATAGTCCGACATTGATCGAGTAGGCAAGTCATGTGATGTTAAAAAGTGCGGGTATGGACAATTTTGTACAACATAATAAGCATGCGAAATGATCTACGACTCTGGCAAGTCATCATCTGCAGGTTGTTACGATATGGAGTAATGTGCTGAAACTTTCCTAAATCAGAAATGTACCGTATACAATTGATCTGAAGTCTTTCCAATTTACCCAGAAGGGCTGCGGACAGATAGGGATACGCAGTAACAGCATAATTAATGTGTGGGAAAATGAGAGAATAACAAAGATTACGACGTACAACAGGAGGAAGGTAGCACCGAAGTGTTTTCAAAGTATGGAAACAGAAGTAAACCCTCTTACAGACTCTCTGTACTTGTGGCCGCCAAGACATCTCCGAATCCATTACCACACCAAGATTTTTGACCGTATTAGAAAACGGAATAACGGTGCTTAAAAATTGCTAAATTTTAATGAAAACCGCATCTCGATATCGCCACCCGTTCTTGAATTATAGAAGAAAATGTTAAAAACTCGAGTGCCATCAATCGGATCTAGTTATCTCATCGATAAAAACAAATCACATTACCATGGTAACTGTAAACATGTCATTTACCAACGCAGAAGCGTATGATGAATACGATGCAACTGCATGGTAAAAATGTGCAATGCAATTACGACAAAGAAAGACATTTTTCTCTAGAAGTGTTTTTAAGATTGACTTAGCGATTACGGAAAACTGGCAACGTGTAGCCCATTCAGACATCTCTATGAATTCGTAAATCACATTGGTGTGCAATGCATGGAGTTCCCACATAATCTGGGAACTCCGAAAACAATTGTCCACAAGATTCCTCAAGAGAATAATATCTCCACCACGTTGTTTTACATCAGGCCTCAACAGATACCGATTATGATAACAGACTGAACTATTATCATTGACTTATAAATATGATTTGGGCAAATCCAAACATTTTATCACAAATGCTATGGATGCATTAAGCATCTGTCCACAAGCTGGTGTAAACTTGCATAATATGCATTCTTGGTTCGAGCAAAACCCACATTGCTTTCATCCCTTTATCTATTGCGTAGACTAAACGACCTGACTTTTCAAGAAAAACTAATAACCGGGGAAAATATGACAAAACACTAAATACCAGTAGAAACGTG